TGCTTCTATGATGCTGCTTGGCCTGCTGTGTTCATCCAGCCCTGCACCTTGTTGCCTAAGTGTGAAGTGATGCATTTTGGAAGGCGAAACAAGATGAGGTAATATTTAATAAACAACTTAGAGGAACGGAAGGGACTTGGGGTCATTATTCACAGATCCCTGATGTTGGCAAAGCATGTGAACAGGATAGTTAAGGCCTATGGGGCACTTGCTTTCATCAGTCTTGGTATATAGAGGATAAGAGCAAGGAGGTAATGTTGGAGTTGTACACAGTGTTGGTCAGGCCACAACTGGAGCACTGTGTGCAGCTCTGGTCACCTCACTACAGGAAGGAAGTGATAGCACTAAAAGAGTGCAGACGAGGTTCATAGGAACATAAGAACATAAGAACTAGGAGCAGGGGTAGGCCATCTGGCCCCTCGAGCCTGCCCCACCATTTAATAAGATCATGGCTGATCTTTTTGAGACTCAGCTCCACTGACCCGCCCACTCACCATAACCCTTAATTCCTTTACTGGTCAAAAATTTATCTAGCCTTGCCTTAAAAACATTCAGTGAAGTAGCTTCAACCGCTTCACTGGGCAGGGAATTCCACAGATTCACAACCCTTTGGGTGAAGAAGTTCCTCCTGACCTCAGTCCTCCATCTGCTTCCGTTTATTTTGAGGCTATGCCCTCTAGTCCTAGTTTCACCTGCTAGCAGAAACAACCTCCCTGCCTCTACCCTATCTATTCCCTTCATAATCTTATATGTTTCTGTAAGATCTCCCCTCATTCTTCTGAATTCCAATGAGTATAATCCCAGCCTACTCAGTCTCTCCTCATAATCCAACCGTCTCAACTCTGGAATCAACCGGGTGAATCTCCTCTGCACCCCTTCCAGTGCTAATATATCTCTTCTCATGTAAGGAGACCAAAACTGGAAGACGAAACAAGATGAGGTAATATTTAATGAACAGCTTAGAGGAATGGAAGGGACTTGGGGTCATTATTCACAGATCCCTGAAGTTGGCAAAGCATGTGAACAGGATAGTTAAGGCCTATGGGGCACTTGTTTTCATCAGTCTTGGTATATAGAGGATAAGAGCAAAACTGCACACAGTACTCACTGTGTGGCCTCACCAGGACCCTATACAGATGCAGCATAGCCTCCCTGTTTTTAAACTCCATCCCTCGAGCAATGGCAGACAAAATTCCATTTGCCTTTTTAATTACCTGCTGCATCTGCAATCCTACTTTTAGCGATTCATGCACAAGGACACCCAAGTCCTTCTGCACAGCAGCGTGCTGCAATTTTTTACCATTTAAAACAAAGTCCATTTTGCTGTTATTTCTACCAAAATGGATGGTTCACCAGGATGTTGCCTGGGTTGGACCTTTTTGTCATAAGGAGAGACTGGATCGGCTTGGATTGTTTTCTTCAGAGCAGAAAAGACTGAAGGGAGACATGACTGAGGTGTATAAGATTATGAGGGGCATGGACAGGGTGAATAGAAAGCAGGTATTCCCCTTGCTTGAGGGGTCAATCACGAGAGGACATAATGTTTGGGTAAGGGGCTAGAAATTCAGAGAGGATTTGGGAAAAAAAAACTTCTTTACTCAGAGGATGGTGGAAATCTGGAAGCCACTGCCTCAGAAGGGAGTGGAGGCTGGAAATCTTACAACCTTTATTTGGATTAGTACTTAAAATACCATTACATTCAAGGATATGGGACAGATGCAAGAAATTGGGATTAATGCACGTTTAGTGGTTACTTGCTTATGTGGCCACTATTTATTTGTCTAGTTCAATTCAGCTTGTTATCAGTGGTTTGCTTAATAAATTACTGTTTTACTCTTAAAACTGAATGTGCAACATTGAGTGTTTGTATCTCAGTGAGAATCTATCACATTGAAACAAAATAAAATCTATCAATCTGGATTTCAGTCTGGGATCTGCCTTGTCCATTAACAATATTAGCAGTGATCCTGTCCTTTGACCATGACAACCACTTTAATTGCGATTCCAACTGCTTAATTCAATCCCTCCAGCACTGATGCTTAGTAGCAGCAATGTGAACCATTGACTAGATGGCACCACAGAAATTACCAAGGCTCCTTGGACAGCACTTTTTAAACTGATGGCCATGACCATCTCAAAGAAATACCTTATTCAAAGATTCATTACCATATCTTCAGCATCACTGACCTGATAAATGGAAATGCCCTGCCTAAGGCAATGGATTGGAATCTCTTCACAATTGGACTGCAACAGTTCAACTAGAAGGCCAAATATTGCAGCCTGCAGCAATGAAAGAAGGGCATTTAAATTTGCCTTTCTCATCATTGCCCAAGCCCTGGGAAGAAAAGGTAGGATTGCATTTGAAGCTGTTTTTGCCCATCTCTGAGCTGATTTGATTGTTGCCTTCCAGATCATCAGATGCAGGTTTGCTTAAAGATCGATTACCATGCAAGGGCAAAGTTGCCATATCTGGTAAGAAGAAACTCACAAGAATCTGTTTAATTTCCTGGGATAAATCCTGTTTGGGTAAATGCCTAGTCTTACAGAAATAGACAAGAGATAAAGCTGCACATTCATTGTTGGAAATCTGTTTCAAATGTTATTCCTTTGTACTGCTGTAATTTCTATTTTGGATGTGTTTTTGAAATTGTTAAAATATCCCTGTGTTGAATCTATTTTAACCTCATGTTTTAGTTCCCAACACTGACACCTGTGAAACTCCACTAGTCACCGGTTGCCATCCTGAAAAAGACTCTTTCATCCCCATTCTCTGCTTTCTGCAAGTCAACCAATCCTCTCTCCATGCCAGTACCTTGCCTCTGTACCATGGGCTGTTATCTTATTTCACAGCCTCCTGTGTGGCACCTTGTCAAAGGCCTTTTGGAAATTTAAATACATCACGACTTTGTCTAGCTTGTATGATGCCTCCACAAAGAATTCTAACAGAACTTTCAGGCATGACCACCCCTTGATGGAGTCATATTAACTCAGCCCTATTTTACCATTCAGTTCCAAGTTCTCTGCAATCTCATCTTTAATAAGGAACTTTAAAATCTTACTAATGACCAAGATCAGGTTAATGTCCTATAATTACCAGTCTTCTGTCTCCTTCCCATCTTAAACAGTAATGGGTAAACAGGAGGGAAGGTGGAGTTGAGGCCAAGATGAGATCAGTCATGATTGTATTGAATGGTGGAGCAGGCTCGACAGGCTGAAAGGCCTGCTTCTATTTTCTGTGTTTCCATGTGTCTTTCAAAATGTTACAAGTTAGACACTGTTCAAGAAATGCGTAAGAAAGAAAACAGAACTACAGACATGTTATCCTCATATCTGTGGTCGGGGAAATGCAAGAGTCTATAATAAAAGATCAAGCAAGGCTACGTACACAGCCCCCAACTATACTCTCTGTACACTCATGACTGCCTTGCCAAATTTTGTCCAAACACCATCTAGAAGGGGAAACGAAGCATGGATTGGGTGACCACTTCATAGAACATCAACTTTCTGCTTTCAAAAAAGACCCTGAGCTACCTTTCCCTGTCACTTCAACACACCACCCTGCTCCCTGGCCAACATCTCTGTCTCTGGCTTGCTACAGTGTTCCAGTGAAGCCCAGCGCAAGCTGGAGGAACAACACCTCATTTTCTGCTTGGGGACCCTACAGCCCCCCAGACTCAATATTGAATTCAATAATTTTAGGGCCTGAACTCTCCCATGTCCTAGCCCCCCACCCCACACACCAGGCCTTGTTACCACATAGCCTGCCATTACACACTCCCTGTTGTTAGTCACTAACAGTCCCCATTAACAACTATTCACCCTCCCAGCCTGATCGTTAGCAACTCCTTTGTCTGTCCAACTGTCTCTCTCTCTCTTTGGGCTCTATCCTAACGTTTACTCCCTAACCCCACCCACCTCCCTATTTTCTGCATTTAAACCAACGTTTTCCCAGCCACCATCAGTCCTGAGAAAGGGTCACCAGACCCAAAACGTTAACTCTGATTTTTTCTTCACAGATGCTGCCAGACCTGCTGAGCTTTTCCAGCAATTTCTGTTTCTGTTTCTGATTTATAGCATCCGCAGTTCTTTTGGTTTTTATGATCAAACCTGTCAAATCCCAGGCAATGGCCCTCCAGAGGAGTCCAGTTCGATTCTTGTATTTCTCTGTCGATGATCCAGTTAATTGCTTGTCTCATTGGACTCACTGCTGACCAATTGGAAGAATTTCCACAGTCTCATTCGTCTGACGAATCCCTCTGTGTCTACCCCAAGACTAGTGGGGTCCATTTTGGTGATGGCGCAGCAATTGAGTCCTCGGCTTAGCTGAAGGGTGTGATCAGATAAGCTGACGATGGATTTTCCCGTGGTGATTTTCCTGTGGTACCAGGGGAGAGTTGGTTATTGCTGGTGGTGATACCAAGCTTCTCCAGTTTTTTGGATAGTAGGAACTGCAGATGCTGGAGAATCTGAGATAACAAGGTGTAGAGCTGGATGAACACAGCAGGCCAAGCAGCATCAGAGGAGCAGGAAGGCTGACGTTTCGGGCCTAGACCCTTCTCCAGTTTCTCGTTTTTTTTTCTCCATTCATTTGTGGGATGTGGGCATCGCTGGCTGGCCAGCATTTCTTGCCCATCCCGAGTTGCCCATTGAGAAGGTGGGGGTGAGCTGCCTTCTTGAACCGCTGCAGTCTATGTGCTGTGGGTTGACCCACAATGCTATTAGGGAGGGAATTCCAGGATTTTGACCCAGTGACAGTGAAGGGCCAATTCTGTCACCACTTTCCAGACGCTCAGTTATTACATCCTTAGTAATTGACTCCAGCATTTTCCCCTCCTCTGATGTTGATTGATTGAGTTATTGTAGCCGTATGTACCTAAGTATAGTGAAAAGGATAGTTTACGAGTAGTACAGACAGCTCATAGTAAGCAAGGACATACAGATCAGAGAGTGAAAAAATCTTGGACAGAGTGAGGCATACAGGTTACACAGCACAGGAGGCATGTGAAACAAGATCAACATTATTTGAAGTTAGAGAATCCATTCATCAGTCTAATAACAGCAGGGTAGCAGCTGTTCTTGAACCTGTTGGTGCGTGTGTTCAAGCTTCTGTACCTTATGCCTGATGGAAGAGGTTATAGGAGATCATTACTGAATCAGTTATTTGAATTCAATCATTTATTGTCACATGTATTCAATGTAAAAATACAGTGGAAATTGTGTACCTTCGCCATACATACATGATGCCATTCACATTAAATTCAAATAAGATAAGAAAGAAAAGATAACTTAAGAGAGTCCAACTTTCATTTCTGCTGCCACAGTCCCATTCAGGGCTTTCCAGCCCTCGCCATGCCTCCGCCAGTGTCCCGCTCCAGGCT